CCTATAGGCCAAATATATTTTATTTGGCAAACTCATGTGCATTGGCCACGTTCCATTTATCAATATTGTTGACTGTTTAACTTATTACATGGTTTGAATCTTATGCATTAGACAGGTCCTATCAAAGTTGTTCATTGTTTAACTTACATAGCCTGACATGTCGTTAAAAAATTTGAAAAAGGTGTGAATTATTTTACAATCACCTAACAAATTTTTTAATTGATGTAACATGGAAAAAAAAAAGCTGGTTTACAGTTTAATCTGAGATTATTTTATAAGGGACAGAGGAAATAATTGCAAAATTAATAATTTTAAAGATAGACCCTATAATTGCTTCAACTTAAATATATCGTACAATATCTATATTTTCGTCTCTTATACTCTTAGGGTTTTATCTATAAGATAGAAAGAGAGTATTTTTTTAATCATATTTATAGAGAACTTTTATGATTTTTATGTCCATATTTACCTTATTGTCCCCATTAAGTGCTATAGTATTTTATTTTTAAAGTATCTAAAAATGTTATTTTTAAACAAAATTAATGAGATTTAAAATTTTTCCTTTTTCTGATAAGATATTATAAAAGTGACTTATAAATAAAATAAAAAAAAGTGTAAAATCCCTCTTATTTAATATTATAGATAAGAACTCCCTTAGAGATGTCTGATAGATATTATAAATATTTTTGAATATTTCAAAAGGAATTATTATAAATTAATAATATTAACTATTATTTAAGTCTGTTTATTATTTTATAACATATAATTTAAACAATATTATTATTTGAAACCATTTTTTAATTGTGATTAAAATAGTTTTGTTGCCCAACATTATGAGATCTACTTATAAAAAGCAATGCTTGCCTCAGGTTTAGTCAGAGCCTTAGTACTCTTAGCTTTTCTGTACTCTTCTATCATACTAATTCATTGTGCGGTTACCTAAGTGTATTTTATGAATTTCTATTGTTTTGTGTATCTATTTTTAGTAGGAAGAGTCTGCTTAATTCTAAGGAGCTGCCACACGATCAACCCGGTATGGCAGAATAGCTTTAAGGATAATGTCCTTGGGCACAACTCAAGCTATGTTTTCACCAGCTATTGCCAACAATGTCGCCCTTCCATGATGTTATTGATAATATCCCAAGGAAAAAGAAAGTTCCTATCACTAAAGAAGGAAAATTCCATCACTAAATAGATTTAGGGCATAATTTGCTACAAAATCAGTTCGTTGTAAAACTTATCACTAATTAGTGTAGGGTAACATAAGTGGCATAATGGAATCACATTTAAAGACTATCTATAATAGGACTAGGGAATATTGCCCATAATATATGATGATGGTGGTAATGAGTAAAAATAAAAAAGGCAAAATTTTTAGGTACTTAACTTTATATAATTTTATCCAATCAAATTAAAATAAATAAAGTTTAATTTTTTAATAATATTAATAATGAGAGTTTGTTATAAAATAAATAATATATAAAAGATACACATGTTTTTGTTTAATTGGAAACAAGGATTTTAACTATATACTCCTTTCGGATCACAATATAAGTTACTCCCTCCAATTCAAAATAAAAATAGTTTTTTAAAAATAACTCAGATACCAATAAAGTCTTTATTCTTTTAAAAATATGTTGTTTTCTCTTTTTACATTTAGTCCGAATAATTAATACACTTCATGACGTGTGACAGATAAATTTATATAATGATCTAAGTTAACAAATAAAAGGGTAAAATGGAAAGAAAATTTGCACTTATGGGTTGCTTATATTTTAAACCAAGATTAGCTAAGGAAAATGCTTATGTTTTGAACTGGATGGAGTATTATTAACAAATTTATGCTCTTTAAGAAAGGCTAGTTAAGATTTCAAAATTTTTTTTTTTGCATTGAGTATAATAAATATAACACTTGATTTATTCAATTACCCTCATTACTTATTTAATAAAATAATGGTGTAATTGAAAAAATATAAAAAAAATTATTCAATGATCTATATTTGGGCTAAACAAAATTTTCCAAAAAATAACCTATATTATAGTTTGGAGGGTGTAAGTTTTTTTTTTTCAAAATAAAAATTGCTAATGCTTGCTATTTATATTTTAAAATATGACCGCTCCCAGTGTCAGGATAAGGCAGGGGATCCTACACAGTTTCTTTGGTAGAGAATTCTGAAGTGTTTATTATTAATAAATTTCGAACGCTTATCCTCCAATTTCAAACTTGTATGTTGTGATCTATCCATTCTCTTTATCGCCAATAATAATAATAATAATAATAATAAAAGATCTATCCACTCTCGCCAATAAAATCAATATAAAACCGCAAACTGATACCACATTAAAAGAAGAAGAAGGAGAAGAAGCAAAGTTGAATATTATATAGTATTATTCAACAACTGTAGCTTTTTTTAAGTTATGGATTTATTCCAATATTTTGAAAACTTGCAGTTTTTAAAAAATAGAGTATAATATATATATATATATATATATAAGTAATTAGTTAGAGGATGTGCTTTCATTAGTTAGTAGGTTTTATAGTTAGTTCGGAGCACTAGAGAATAATACTTTGGATAAAACATGTTATATTAAAAAGTAAGTAGGAGGTTGAAACAGCAAGTCTTCAAAAATTAATGCCTACTCTCATTTTCTTGAAGCTCTTTCACTACTACAAAATGCCCCCTTACTTGACGGTTATTTTAGAAATTATTTGACGGTTTTTAACAGTTAAATAATGAGGCGCCATATATTTATTTGACGGTTAAAAACCGTCAAATATTTTAAAGATTACTTGACGGTTATTTCAAAATAACCGTTAAATAATCACTTAAACATTTACATATACTGCAGCAATATACTTAACGGTTATTTTAAATAACTGTCAAGTATTTAGTAATATTTGACAGATATTTTGTAACAAGCGTCAAATATGCTTTTGCAAATTCTGTGTGCCAAATACTTGACGGTTATTTCATAATAACCGTCAAGTATTCGTACATACTTGACGGTTATTTTGAAGTAACCGTCAAGTAAACTTATACTTGGCGTTTCTTTCTAAACAACCGTCAAGTATTTATGATGTGTTTTTTCCCCCCTACAAATACAAAGCAATCAAATATATATACCAGCCAGCCAACAATAAAAAAACAATTGAATCATTATTTATATTGAAATTACAATCTAAATATCTTTAATTTATCTTATATCTACCTATACTCTAAACCCGATGCCATAAAAAAATCTATAACTTTACCTACTTTACAAGTTTAAATTTCAAAATTAATTGGCCTCAGACATAAAATTGACCAAAAAATAAATGTGTACATCAAAACTAATTAGGCCTAACCACTGCTGCTATCCACATGTTAAACACAGCCTGAGCTACCTCTTCAAGGGTTTCCTCTATATGTGCAGCTGCATACTGAATACAGTAGGCATCCTCGAAGTACTGTATGCAAAGAGTTACAACAAATTCAAGTTAATAGCTATCTAACAAAAGTTGTTAAAATTTATAATTTAAGTATCATTATATTTAATATATACCTTGTTAGGTAATGTGGTAGGGGCATGGGTGATAATGTCCTTCAAGAATCTCATCAAGCAATAGCCACAGTCATTGCTCTGATCTGGCTGGAGTGGACACTGTGCAAAAAAAATTACATATCAATAAAATAATAGTTAAAAGGCCACGGTTTATTAATTAAAAACTTAGTCCATTAGGTTTACCTTAACTGTGACCCATATCTCACAAGAGTCCAATACCCTTAAGTTAGGGGACAAGGTCTTGTTGGTCACAGTTCGATACAAGACCACAGCTCTAAGAAGAAAATAAAGAATAAATGTTAGAAATTCAATATATATGGATATTAAAATAACAATTAATAAAAATTTAACTTACTTATTAAAAAGTTATTACTTATTAAATAACAATCTCGACTCAAGGCCGTCAGGAATCACAAATGAGGTATAAAGGTGGCTTAAGTAAAAAAAACCAGGTTAATACACACACGTGCACACATACATATATATAATTTAAGTAATTAATTGAGCATCATCGAAGAAATACCTCATGTAGAAGCTCATCAGACTAGTACTGGCCATTTCATGCTTGAGAATTTCATTCAAAATTTCATCCCGAACAACTTCAAACAAGCCCGGTCTTCCATACAGCCTATCATCAAAACTAATGATATCCCCAATCGCAACTTGACGAGCCATCCTCGTAGCCATCGCATATGTCTTAAGAGAGGCACGGTATTTGTATTCTACAGTTGGCACCGATGCTACTGGATATTGCGAAACTGTGGCTGACTCTTTGGTATGGCCTGACTTACCTTTTAGCTTGCTCTTCCCTTTCAGCTGCACAACAAAAAAGTTAGATATTTATAATTATATTATAAAATTATAAATAATTATTTAAACCGTATCTTTTTCTTTGGAGGCAATGGGTCCTTTGCTAGCTTTGGTGTTACCGCTATTACAAGGTGGCTAGGCTATGCAACGAAGCTCCCTACTACTTCCCCTACCGTCTGTGCCTCATCAGTAGGAACAGGCAATGGATAGTTGGGGTCGATGGCAATAAGTAGAGAAACTCTAACACAGTTGGGCGAGAGGGGATGATTATGGATTATGTCCCCGAGAATGTTGTACACATGCCCTGTTACAATTACTCTACGTTCAGGAGTGTCTGCCAAACAATTGCAATCGTTCTCGCCCTAATTAAACAAACAATGACAATCAGTTTCTAAAATAAAAATAATTAGACAAATTCATAAGGTAAAACATATTACCTCAGGTAGTTTTTCTGAGGGGACTGTGCAGCTATCTTTCTGACTAGGGTTAATCTCACCCAAAGTCCTCCCAAGGACTTGCCCTTTCAACAACATGTCAATTAATGCTGCCTGGGCTAGTAGTTGCTGCTTCATAACGGCTTGCTCTTCTCTCAGCTCTTGGACCTCAGACGAAGAAGCTGATGTTTTCTTTTTTATCTTGCCAAAATATTACTTCTTCGTGACTCCGAAGCCAACACCCCTGACACAACCAGGGTGGTCAGTAGTTCCCAATGCCCTAGCCAAGATATCCTCATCCTCAGGAAGGTTGCCCTGTGAGACTTCCTGAGAGATGGAATCCTGTGTAGAGTAAATATGTTTAGTTTGAATATTCATAATTAATTATTAAGTAGTAGTTAAATATAATACTTACAATCTTTTCAGTAACCTCTTTCACGCGGGGGTTGTCAATAATTCCTTCTTTTTTAGTGCGTGCCAATGCCCAGAGCTTATGGCGGGATATGGTAACCTCTGATCCCTCCTCCTCTAATTGTTTCTGCTCAATGCCTGCATACCCCAACCTCCCTGCTCTATAAGGATATTCGTTCTTCGCTACTCTCTCCTTATTCTGTGTACTTAATTCCTTGACGAGTTAATAACAAAAATTTTTGTTAGTACATACACATATAATCAATAAATAACACCAAACTTGAAATTTAAGAAACATTAATACCTTGAATTCCTTCTCATGCCGTGAGGCAACAAAAGCATCCCAATCCTCTTGTTTTACCAAAGGCTGTAATAAGGGAGGAACTCGAGCTACAAATTCAGCATCAGGATCTTTCAAATATTTCTGTGTGACAAAATATCTGAAAGACCGTAGTGCCCTCCCAGCCTTTTGTAGGACAAAATCTTGCCTACTCTCATCAATGTCAAATCCTGACTACAAAATAAAATAAACAACATATCAGATGCATTAATTTTAAAAATAGTTTATACCAAAATATACTTAGTAAAATGTAACTTACTGCTATAGTATCCCAAATAAGAGCCTTCGTGGCCTCATCTACTTTGCGCCATGATTTTACTGTGATAGGCACAGTAGTCTTTGCCACCACCCCAATATAACTTATGAATTTTGAGGATTTAATTGCTTGCCCTTTCTTGTTCCATTGCACATCAATTTTTTTTCCTGCAGCTCTTGTTTTTGTCACCTCTTCCATTATCATTAGGCCTCGTTGAATGTTATTGTACTCCTGCTCTAGCTTTTTCTGTGTACTCGGAACCTCAGTCGAATTTGTAGCTAGAATTAATGGAGGGGTATCAACAGACTCGCTATCAGAAGCCATTTATCTGTAAAGGAAGACAATTAAATCAAACATTAAATAACTTAAACAAAATTCACATAATTAATTCAAACATTAATCAACTTAAATAAAAAGAACACAATTAATCAACTTAAATAAAATGCACACAATTAATTCAAACATTAATTAACTTAAATAAAAAGAACACAATCAATCAACTTAAATAAAAAGTTTTATCATTCAAGTTCTCATATAACTTAATTATACTCAATCAAGTTACCCAACAATAATTGATATAAAAATTTTATCCCAACAATCTATTTTGTCCTATAAATTCAATATAACTCAATCATATCTAATCAAGTTATCCAACAACAAAATTAATCACCATCATCAGAACAAGGGAAGCAAATTTTCAACAAATTCATAAAATGCCCAACAGTAAATTAATTTTCATATAATCTTAAATTTAATTTCAAAACTAACAAAGAACTGAAAACAAAAGCCTATATACATTCAATCACAAATCGTAGTTCCAATGAACAAAAAATTCATATTCCAATTGCTAATTCCAATCAACTCTCTAATTACAATCAATTGATAACAATATCACAAGGAAGAAGGTTAAGCTAACTTACTTAAGAGAGGCAGAGCACGAGGACGAAGAAGAAGAGCAGGGGAAGGAGGAATGAAGACAACTCGCATTTTGCACTGTTGAGAAGCAAGTAGGGGAATTTGAAGTCAAATTTACCCTAAACACTAAACCTAAAAATGAATTAAACAGATGAAGAAGAAATTAAACTCACATATGGAAGATGGAGAACGAACCCAAAACACCCGAAATCACGACTTGGATGAACGAACAACCCACAAACCCCAAAAAATGGAACCCACGAGCAAAACCCAAGAAGAATCGAGTCTAAATCTGTATTTTTGGGCAGTTTTAGTGACGAAAAATGATTTCTGAGCACTCTGGGTGTATTTTCAAAAATGTTCGAGTTGCAGAAATGTGAAAATGAAAGGTTCTGGAGCGTAAATTTAAAAGACAATACTTGACGGTTATTTCATAATAACCATCAAGTATTCATTATTTGACGCTTGTTATTAAATAACCGTCAAATAAAACTCAGACATACTTGACAGTTATTAGTAAACAAGCGTCAAGTAATTAACTTTGTTTATTTTTCCTTTTGAACCATATATTTGACGCTTTTTTACAAATAACCGTCAAGTCTTCCGAAATATACTTGACGGTTATTGTAAAACAAGAGTCAAATATATTTATAAAAAAATCAAATCTGGGATGCATATATATTTGACAGTTATGCCAATATAACCGTCAAATATATACTAAATACTTGACGGTTGTTTTGAAACAACCGTCAAGTATTTAGCGCCTTTTTTATTTGTCATTTTTCACTTATAACCGTCAAATATAAGCCGTCATATTTAGCTTATTCTGTTGTAGTGTTTCACTCATTCATCATGATTTCAAAGATAATCATTCTCTTTTCAAAGCAATCATAAAGATCATAGAACTTATTATGTAAGACTGGATGATCAGTTATAGAAAAGCAAATAATTGCACAAATTACATTGCACATCAACAACTTAGCGATAATCTTATTGTTAAGATTTTATTGTTAAGATTTTAGATGAACTACATTTAAGGTGTGGATATCTTTTTGAGTGTTGACATAACCTGATTTTTGTTTTCCCCATTCAAAAAAAAAAGTAAGTAGATGATTATCATAAAAGGAACTGTTTGGAGTAATGAAAACAAAGAAGAAAACCACAAATGAAAAATAAAATTAAGGGCTGGTGAGAGGGCAAGAAACTGGGATCGGCATTGGGCACCGCGTGCTCATATTTTTACTTTAATAAATATAAAATAAAAAATTTAAATTTAAACTGTTTAGATTTTATCAATGGTGAGTACTGTTGTACTTATCCTCTAATAAGCATCAAACACAGTTCAATTTTAATATTAATTTTTTTATAATTTTTATATATTTTTATTTTGATAAATATAATATTAAAAAATTAAAATCAATAGCAAAAATCATTTGAAATAAAATGAAAAGCCAGATCACCCAACATGAATCTGAGCACGCTGCACGCGGTGCCCGTGCTCATGAATCTGAGCACCGCCACCGAGTAAAGTAGAAGGCTTGAGGTTCTTAAAATATAAAACAACAAACAACAAACAATAAATAAAAATGTAAAATTAAGTGCTGAGAAACTAAGACCCGCATTCGGCACCGCCTGCTTATATTTTTACATATTTTTATTTTAATTAAATAAAAATAAAAAATAAAATTTTTAATTTAAATTATTTAGATCTTATCAATCAAAAGTGATGAGTAGCATGATATTTAGCCTCTAATAACCAATTAAATAAGCCAAATTTGATAAGAACATTTTTATTATTTTTATTTTGATAAATATTATATTAAAAACATTTAAAAATAATTTAAAATTAACTGTAAAGATCAACTTAATATTAAATTTGGCCATAATTGTCCTTCCAAGCATATATTAAGGCTCAAAATATAAATCCAATATCCAAAATTAGATTTCAACAACTCGGTCCCTAGCATATGGTACCTCCGTAAGAAATGCTAACTTTTTCTACCACCTACAATACAAATATTAAGCTCGTTCTTTTAGTATGATATGACTTTATAGAAGCAACTCATATCAATAAATTGGTCTTACTCAATGACATGGTTTAGCTCCTTCTTGTGTAGTTCCTGTACAATATTAGAGTCAATAATGGCTAATTCTAACAAAGGATCATTTGGAGAAGCCTTTTTCTAAATACAAAGGAATGTAATATTTGGACTCCAATCTAGGCATGCCTCTACGAAGAGGATAGTTCAATGCTTGAATTACATTTCATTCAAGGGTAGGGCTCAAGTTGCTTGGCCTTGATTTCAAGTGATAAGTAGTAAGTGTACGGCTTTGTCTAGAACATCTTCTCCATGGATATGGAAAAATGTGTAGCCTCATCATTCCAACCACATCCTCAATCAATGACTTCTTAAAATCACCATTTTCATCTTTGAACTGATCAAACACATCTGCATGCGTGTGTGCGTGGGGACTTACTTTCAAAAAACAAGAAAGCTTAATAGCATGTGCGTTAAGAACTTGCATAAAATACATATAGCACTACTAAAAATACCTGATGGCGCATAATAACCTTGTTGCCTGAGCAAACAAAACCAGAGGGAAATGGTGTGAAGATCTTTGCCCTAAAAAAGGAGGATGCTTATTCTCACACATATTCTCTATTATCTCTTCAATCTCACTTTCAAAATGATATGATACACCTAAATATTTAATATTGTCAATCAGGTTCAATTTCTCTGTAAGATCCTCATCTCGATCAAGTATCAACTTTCGAACTTGGTTCTTCAAATGCTGTAGCCGCTATTGGATTTCCAACTCTCCATTTTGTACCATGAGAATTAACGAAAGGTTTCTTTGTCCTAAAAGGAATAAAAAAAATATAACTTCAAGAATATTTTTTTATTTATAGCATAAACTGATATTAAATTAAAATATTTCTAATTTATATACACCTTCTTCTATTCTATGTCTATCTATCTAACATCAAACTAATTAATCTTTAACAAACATGAAGAAAATACTAGAAGCACAAGAAATCAGAGGGTTTTGAAGAGTGTAATTACCAGGACAGGTGGAGGAGCTAAGGTGAACAGATGACATACCCGAATAATAAGACTAAAATTGGCGATGGGGCGTGTATGTACTTTTAGTAGTGGGACCAGGGGAAGACATTTTTTTATTCAGAGCTTACAAAGTTAGGGGAGCTTATAGTAAAGCTTAGTTTTATATACCTTATGTGAATTGCTATTTATAATATTCACCATCAACTATAAAGTCACAAGCACATGAAGGAATTACAAGATGGAGATATCCCTACAAAGGAATGTGAACTTTAAACGGAGAATACACGTTTGAAATTTCTTAACTTGATGTTAATGTTTGAACAAACCGCTATTTACAAACACGCTATAAATGGGCCAAGCGATCTTTATGAGGAAGCATATCCTCTGCCCCTCATATGACGATGAAAAACAGTCATTTTCTTTTTCCACATATAAATCGTGCTTATTATCTTCTATTTTACCATTTCTTTTTACAAGAAAAACATATTGAATTGTACTTTTTTGACAAAGTAGGTGATATAACTTTATATATATGGTTTATGTATAATATTATATATATATATATATATATATGTATTTATCCTTGTTTGCCTTGTGTCATCTATTTGTAACTTGCATGATAGGCAAAACGAAGTAAAAGAAAATGACATAATCTTATGAGTTTCGAATTGTTGGTGGTGGTGGGATTTTGCAAGTGTGCCAGTGACCTTAGATATTTCACCTATCTAAAAAATAACCTAACTTTAGTTTAGATAATTATGACTATCTTGGGGTCTCTTATTGCAGTTTCCCCAAGTTGTAAGGATAAAAAATATAAGGAAATAATTGGGAAATAAGATTTGGAAAGAAATAAAGTTTAATAAAAGATTAGTGTATGAAATTGAAATTGAGATGAGCACTGGTCCTGGTCCTAGTTGAATCATGAATTAAATATGTTAAAGGACGAAATACAATTGTAGAAAATATAAGGGAAATTCAAAGGGGACTAAGCGAAAAAGAAAACTAGAGCCATATATATGGAAAACATGAAAAACTAGAGCTATTGATTTAAATCCTCTAAAGTTGATATCGGGAAATTTCAATGAAGTTTGCCCTTTTAAGCGGGAAAGAGAAAATTTTATAATAAAATAAGAAAAAAATAAGAAAATAAAAATTCACTAAAATTCATCAATCTAAAATTTAAAGGATTTAAATTTTATAGATGATCTTGACTAATTGCACGTGGTTAAGAACTTGCAAATGAAACTAGAGGGAAATGGTGTGAAGATCTTAGCCCTCAAAATGAGGATGTGGTTCTCATACATATTCTTTGTTATCTCTCTAATCTCACTTTCAAAATGATAC